GTGGCATGGTCACTTATGGGGATATCGTAGTTCTTGGAGGTCCCCCTGCAGGGCTGAGGGAGAAGGGCCACACCCCTGCAGGAGGGGAGAGACTGAACGGGAGCCCATCACTACGACCATACCCGGGTTCTCCTTGTACCATTTTTTGCCACGTTTCTGGAAATTTAAAATGGTCTTAAAATACAAAGCTGAGAAAATAAATAGACCCAGGTCAGAGTTTGCTCTCCAGGGACCATCTGTTGTTTGACCACATGAAAAAATTAGAATTCCGTCAATTCCCCAAACACTGGGGGACAGTGCGTGAACATCTGGATTTCTGGTTCTTGCCCAGTGAGCTCTGTGGCCACCCAGGGTGGTGCCCGGGGCAGCTGTGTTCTTGCTGGGCTTTCCCACAGATGTGGGGTCGGAGAGTCCTGAACCTTCCTCCCCCTGGCCAGTCTGCAGATATGTGGGACACGGGCTTGCACAGGACTGTCCGTCATGGGGGACAGTGCGTGACTGCCTGAGCCTTCCCACTGCACGCAGCACCCCAGGCCTCTGGCATTTGGAAAGGACAGTCACCTCCATTCATGCCTGTGGTCCCCACAGTGGCCCTGCAGGGTAAGTGACAGGTGTCATTGCACAGGCACAGACATGGAGGCTCAGGGGGGTGAGGGCCCTGCTCGGGGTCACAGGTCAAGTGCGGCTGGGACAACTGACTGGAACTGGAGTGTTCTTTGCCTTCTGTAAAGCAAACCAATGTGTCGGACGTCCCTAGGGGGTGTCTGAAGCACCATGAGGACCCTGTGAGTGCCCCCAGACTTGTCCCTCTGTTTCTCAAGGGCTCAGCATGGCCTCTTTGCAGAGGTAAGGGGCTGATGGTTTCTGGTCATTCTCAACAATTAGCCTCCCCATTTGTTCTGCAGCGGGTCAGGGCCTGGGGAAGACGGCAACCAGGAAGACCCGCCCCTGGAAGATGCTGGAGTCGGGAGGACCTGCAGGGTGGAGTGGAGTGGGCAGCCCAAAGGGGCGGGAAAGGGCAGATATTGAGATAAAGAAGACAGGGCGAAGGATACTTCTGAAGACTCCATACGTCCACACAACCTCTCCCACTGGGGTTACCAACCCATTTTAGACATGAGGAAATGGAGGCCCAGAGAGGGTAAGAAGATTGTCTGGAGTCTCCAGCCAAGGAGCGCAGATATGGGGTAGGAACCCAGGACTGTTTTACCCCCAAGTCCAGGCTCCCCTTTGGGGACAGGGAAAGGAAACAACAAGCATCTTAAATAGCTCTGTGCCAGCATGATGCTAGGGACTCCACCTCCATCTTATCACTAGTGCCATCCCTATCAGCCTCAAAGGTAAAACGAGGCTCAGAGAAGTGAAGCAACATGCCTGAGGCCACACAGCCAATTCATCTCAGAGTGTAGGAATGGTTAAGCTGGACCCGGTTCTCAGTTTTTTCTGTGATTCCACACAGCTTCTTTCTCCTGGGAGGCCTGAAATGAGGCTGGGCATGACCTCCCGACAGGCTTGGGCTCAGAACTCCTGGAGGTTGGACCTGTCTAGCAGAAGGACTGGTGCAGGAGCATACCATGGCCAGGACCGTCTGTTATGGCCAAGGATGGAAAAAGGCCCCTAAAAGTGAGATTAGTTAGACCTGGTCGGGGGGATGGGATCATAGTGGATTTTGTTTATCTGAGATGGTTTGTGCAGTGCAAAACATAGTCCACCTTACAGGGCTGTGCCCAAATGGGCCAAGCACAATGTGGAATGGTGGGGGCTAAAAGATGCACCCAGGCAGAAAGGGGGTGATCCCAGAGGGCAGTGGGGGTCAGGGAAGTCTTCGCGGGGGAGGTGAGTGGATGGTCAGGAGATCTATGAGCAAAAAGGAGGGCAAAGGAACATCTGGGACGAGGGTCTGTCCTTAAAGGCAGGTCAGAGGGAACCAATCAGGTGGCACTGCAGGGAGGTACAGGGTGAGGGAGGGGGACGGTGAGCCTCTGCCTTCAGGGCTGAAAGGGACATCAAATGCAGTGCCCTCTCAGTGGCCATTTCACGGCCCAAGCTCATACTCAGTGACAGGGAACTCACTGCCCTGCGGACAGCCTCTGTTGTCCCTGAACAATTCAGAATGTTCTAGAATTATTCTCTTTCCATTTACACTCCTTCCTACGAGGCCAATTATACCCCTTCTGTTCCCTGGGAGCCTGGGCGGCCATCTGCCTTGGACCCTCCTGGAAACTGGGTTTCTGGTCACCAGGCTGCAGGCTCACCTGCGCCCTGGGGTGATTCTGGGGATCCCGACTCCGCCCTCCCTGCGCTCATGGGCTCTGAGCTCGCTGGGCACACTTCCCACAATGCACCAGGACAGACTTGCAGGCCAGGTGGCCAGAAACCTGCCAGGTCCCCAGCCTTCCGGGGGCAGTGTAAACTGTGGAGCCCCCCGGGCTGGTCAGCACCCCTCCTGACCTCCCCAGGAGGACATCCCGACGCCCTGGCGGGTACCTCCTGACAGGCAGAGGCTAGAGCCTCCCCCTCCTGCGTGGTCTTCCAGCTAACTGGACAGATCAAGACCAAAGCCTGGGTTCAACATGGGCTCAGGGACTCAAAGTGGCTTCCTGGGTCACCCCTCTGTCGTCTCCCTGCTCACAAGCCACCTGCTCCTGAGCCGACACCAGCCTGAGATTCACAGGACTCACCCAGATCCCTACGGAGACCTGGAGGGCTCTGTATTTGTCCCCAGTCCCCAATCCTGCCCCACCCAGAGGGGAGGAGCCTCCAGGGTCTAAGGGCCCCTAGGCCTCAGCTCTCTTGTGGGATCCCTGGGCCTCCGGGGGCTTCTGGCTCCCCAGAGACATCCACAGCCCCTCCCCAGTTACGAGGCTTCTCCTTGGCAGGTAGAAGGGACGCAGAGATGGAGAGATGCTCCCCAAGCCACTGGGATCCCCCACAGCTCCCCACAGCTCCTCTTTTGTCTCCTGCCCTGGTTTTCTCCTCTGCCTTCAACACTCTTGAGGATTTGGTCTTTCTGCTGCCTTTGGGCCCTCTGGTCTCTGCTCAGAGGCTCCGTGGCCTGTGATTCACCTGGGCTGGCTGCCTGGCTCCCTGTCCATCTCTGTGCATCTGTCTTTTTCAGGGTCTCTCTGCACCTGTGCCGACCTCTTTGGCTGGTTTGTGATGCTGTCAAGCCAGCGATTCTGGACATTTTCTCTCCTGGGGCCTCTGCCAGCATCCTCCCTTCCCACTCCTTCTCCAAACTCTCCGGAACCTTCATTGCCCATCCACACAGGCCCATGCCTCCCTGCGGCTCTCGCGGAACAGATGACTCACCCAGATGCTTCCCCCAAGGATGCTCGCCTTGCCAACCACCTCATCCCAGAGGTCAGTGCCAGGGCCGAGGGGCTGTGACCATCTCTTGAGCTCTCATGTGACCCTGTGTTCCAAGAGGGTACTTAGGACCTTCCGTGGTTGCTCATTCAGACCCCAGGGCCTTTGCACTGCTGTTCCTCTGTCATGGATGACGTTTTCAGGGTTCCACTTTTACAAAGCCCCTCAGAGAGGCCTTCCCTGAGCCGCTGAGGTTCCGACCCCCTTCCTCAGGGCCTCTTTCTCACTACAAGGGTATGTCTTCATCTAATAAATCATTATCTAAAATAAAGTCACCTACTTGTTCCTTTATTGGCTGTCTTTGTCACTAGACTCTCAGCTCCAGGATGGAAGGGACCTTATTTGTCCCTTGCACATGGTCGGTGCTTACTAGATGTTGGATGGATAAATTCTGGATAAATCAATTCCTCATCCTCAGTCTCACTCCTTTCTACGACCCTACCTACCCTACAGACCTGTGCATCTTCTCGGCTTTGCACATGCTCATCTCGGCTGGGAGGGCCCTTTCTCCACAATGGGGCTCGGTGAGCTCCTACTCAGCCTTCAGAACCCAGCTCAACACCACCTCCTCTGGATGCTTGGCTCCTCTCCTGGCTTTCACGTCTACTGTGGAACAGCTAGTTGTAGGTCTGTTCCCCCAAGTCCATCCGGGCGGGGGCTCCCCAGGGCAGAGGCTGGGTCTGAATCTGTTTGTGGGCATCCCTGTGCTCAGCCCGAGCCTGTGCTGGACCACAAGGCCGTTTGGTTTCTCTGCAGGGAGCGTGTGTTACCTGGCCAGCGCCTCATCTGTGCAGAGTCTCCCCACCCCTTTTCTTGTCCCCTAGAAGCCACAGTAACCTTAGAAAAAATGCAACTGTGATCAGCCCCTTCTTAAAATGATCCCGCCATCCCCATCACAGTCAGAATAATTCCCAGGTTTTTGATGCTGAGGCCTGACCTCTGGCCCCTCCACTTCTCCGTTTTGCTCACCATCCTCCGGTGTGGTCCTGCCTCTGGGCCTTCATCTTGCTGTTCCCTCTGCCTGGCAGCCCTGTCTCTTGGGGGAGTGACAGGCTGGCTCTTCCTCACCCAGCTCAGCTCATATGTGGCCTCTACAAGAGGCTGTCCCTGACCTCTCCACACCCCATCCTCATGTCCCGCTGGCTTTCTTCATACACCTGTCGCTCCGGGCATGTCCACCTGGCCTCCCTCTCTCAATTCGCCACAGGCTCCGCAGGACTGGCCTTGCCTGCCTCAGCCACTGCGGTAGCACACTAAGGGTCCGCAAAGATTGTCACCAGATGGATTCTTTCTCATGCCTGATGAGAAAGCGTTGGTGTTTGGCTTTTGAGTAATCCAAGTCACTAGAAGGCACGTTCCACGGGACGAGGGGTCACTTTGAAGTGACTGTGACAAGGTTGACTTTCCGCACTGTGCCAGCCCCAGGGTTCAGAGCATCGCCAGGTGCCCAGGAGGCTCACTGTTTAGTTTCCTGGGGTGAAGGGACGGCCTTCTCATTGAGGCCTGAGCTTCAGAGAGCCCAGAGGCCAGGACCAAGGTCCCTTGAGCTCCTTTGGCCTCATGAAGGGGACACTCGGGCATCGCCCTCCTTGTGGGGGTGGGAACCAGCCCACTGTGGGGCCGCAGCTCACCTGACAGCAGCATGGGGTCTTTGTCCACGGACTTGCGCACCTGGTCAGACTCCCCTGTCAGGGAGCTTTCGTCGATCTTGAGGTCATTGCCCTGGATGAAGAGGCCGTCTGCAGGGAGGAGGTCACCTGGTGGAGGAAGGGCAGGGGAGGTGGTCAGAGAGACTGGGACAGTCCATGGTGCGGGAAGGTTCTCTGCTGAGGACCGGATGCCTAGAGCTCCCAGGGTGCCTGAACCAAGATGGCGCCCACCACGGGCCGAGGCCTAGCTCAGGACTGGGGCCAGGTGAATGGTGCAAGGTCTGGGGAGCAGAGGTTGGGCCCAGTGATACTGCAAACACAAATGGGCGGGTACTTCACAAAGTGCTTCTCTTGGCCTGGCCTGGAGTGGGAGCCCAGGTGGTTTTCTCCATGGTTCACTCTTTTCCAGTCTCAGCCAGGCTTGGGGGAGATTCTTTTGGCTGAGACCAGTCTGACTTGGGTAGGCTGAGGGGATCCCCAACCAAGGCACCTCATCCGGGGGGGAATCAAGCCCTCTCAGCTGAGGGAGGAGGGACGTTCCTGTCCCTGCCCCATGGTCTGCCTCTACTTACCCAGAACATATCTAGTCAGACTCTCTTTGGTGGCTCCTGCCCACTTTCCCGCTGGTAGTATTATAGGACCAGAATATTTGCTCATCTACTCCTGCTTCCTCTATCACCTCCGCTAGCCAGCGACCTTCCACCATAGCCAAACCAGGGATGGGAAATAGATCTCATCTCAGAAACCCATTGGGAGTAGAAATGGTCCTTGGAATGTTGTGTTGAGAAGGCTTCAGAGCTGTCCCCAGTCTCTGGGCTGTGATCACTTGGTAATATCTGCTACGGGTGGGAGTTTGGACAGAAGGGATACATGTGCCAAGTACTTGCCATTTCTGATCTAAATGGATTCTGGGGTCCCATCTCTTGTAGGATTTCAAGGACCCTGGAGCACAGCCTGGCTTGGGATGTGTTCAGGGACCCCTCCCTGGTTCAGTCTCTCTCTGCCCCTGCCTGGCCTGCCCCACCTCTGTCCAGACGCCGGCTTTCGAACGTGGCTCACCGTATTTGATCTGGGCGATGTCCCCAACCACGATCTCGGCCACAGGGATCTGGACCACCTGGCCAGCCCGGACCACCGTGAACTTCTGCTCCTGCTCAATGCGACTCTGCAGGCCCCGGAACTGTTTCTCTTTGCTCCAGTCATTGAAGGCTGTGACCAGGACCACGCAGATGACGGAGAGCAGGATGGCGGCCCCCTCGATCCAACCTGCTTCTGCCTCTCCTTCATCCTCGGCCCCGCCCTGGGCCGTGGCACATCCTGCAGAGAGAGCAGAGGGGGTCAGCAAGGTAGAAAGGGCCTCCTGGCCTGGGTTTAAAGTCCAGCTCAAGTAACAAATATTAATAACCAGGTGACAATAATCCATTTGTTCAGCGGGTGCCAAGCTGGGGGCCAAGAGCCTCCTGTGGCTCAAATCATAAAAGACTCTGCCCATTTCACTGAGGTGGAAGCTGAGGGTTCTCGCCCAAGCTAGGAAGGGCATGTAGGGTGCTCAGAAGTGACCTCAGGCAGTGTGGCTCGGGGCCCATTATCTCAGCCACTTCAGTTTCCTGCCTCCATTCAAGCTGTGAGATCCTGGAGATGTGACTTCCCCTCTCCAAACCTCAGCTTTCTCCTCTGTAAAATGGGAAGCATATTCTTTATCTCAGCGGCCTACTGTGAAGGTTGAAATTTAACGAAGGTTGAAATCTTGCACGGCCTGGCACAGACGGGTCCCCCTCCTCCACTCACATCCAAAATGGGGCCTAATTCATGAGAAAAGTGAAAAAGTGAGGTTGGGAGAGAAGGAAGGCAACCAGTATTTGCCAAAAAAGGGTAGTTTTGTTCATATCCCCTCTTTTTGTTCATTCAGCAACGGTGAGACAGATCCACAGGCAGTGGGGACAGTAGTGTGGTGGTGGGGTGAGGGGATAAGAACCACAGTCCTGGGCCTGCCCTCCAGTGCTCTGAGTGACCCTGGGTGAGTCTGTCCTCCCTTGGCTTCAGGGGCCTCATCTGCAAAATAGGGACCACTGAGACCACTTCTCCTGGCCTGGGCTCAGCACACAGGGCTTCTCACCCAGCCCCTGTTGGATGAGAGCTGAGGACAGGCCCCACTGCACAGTGAGGACTCCGACTCAGGCTGCAGGCTGCCTGTTTGACCTGCAGTGACCCTGAATCCCCCCTAGCACCCCTGAACCTCCAAGCTGGGCCTTTTGACTGCTCGAGGACTGCTAGGGCCCGTGTGATGAAGAGAGAAAGAAAACACAGGGTGCATCAAACCCAGGGCCTCAGACTTGGGTGCTCAATCCCTGCTGTGCTGAGGTGAAGTCTTCCTATCCTCTGCTGGCCTGTACCCCAAAAGGATCCCGAGAGCGAGAGGTGTTCCCCCTTGTGCAGATGAAGAACATGAGGCCCAGAGAGGTGAGGTAGCACGGCCGGATGAGATCAGGCCTTTTTATCCACTGGGAGTTGGAGAGCAGCCGTCTCCATGGAAGAGCCCCTGAGCAGTGTCTGACCATCCATCCCTGAGGAGCTCAGAGGGGCTCCCTTCCATGGGACCTAGACAGGCGGTGGGGAAATCTGCAAGGCCTACGGTGTGCCAGACATTTACTTTTACCCTCAAGCTGACGGAGAGAAGAACGGTGGTTCAGAGGACAGCGACTCACCTGGGTTCATGCAGCAGATCTGGGATTTGCAACCAGGACCTGGAATCTGACATCAGACCAGGCCTGCTCACTGCCTCTGTCTGCCACATACGGGCCTTCCAAGGGAAGGTTACAAAGACTCGTGGCTGACGAGTCTCGAAGCCCAGTTTGGTCCCAAGGAACAGGTAACAGTAGTTTCAAGAGACCCTAACAGAAGTTTCTGGAAAACCAGGGGTTAGAAGCAATATGATAAGAAGGCCACATGGGAGTGTTTGTGGCACTCTGCTCATGGGCGAGTCGGGGTTAGGCTGGCAGCCCCGAGCTCGTGAAGGTAAAGCCTCACTGTGGCCGAGCAACATGTGCCACTGGAAAATTCCAGGTCTCAGGCTGCACCAGCTGCTTCCTGCAGGCCAGTCAATTATGTCACCATGTGGGGTTCTCAAAGCTACTTCTTCTCCCCCTTGGGAGTTTCAGGCATTGCCAATAACTTTAAACTGCTCAACCAGACCAGCCCTTGGGGGTAAGGTCATCACCGTTGTGCTAATGAGAACTGACGCTGGGCCAGCCGCGAGTTTGAATCCTAGCTGCACCACTTAGCTGCAGCATAGAATCCGATATTCTTGGGGCTGGGATTGTGGTTCAGCAGTGGAGCGTCTAGCACATGCGAGGTCTTGGGTTCGATCCTCAGCACCACATAAAAATAAACAAATAAAATAGAAGTATTATAAAAAAAAAGAATCCTATATTCTTCTCATATGCAAAATGAGGGTGATGATGGGTGTTCCCCTCAAAAGGTGATGGAGAGGACTAGGGCAGGCCTTCATATGACACACTCACTGCAGGGAGCATACAGTGGGTGCTCACATGAAGCTGCTGATGCTTGTTTTCCAGCAGATGGGCATGCGTGCTGAACACAGGTCCCATGGCCTGTGTGGGTAGAGTCTCGAGTCACCTGGTACAGAGGGGGGTCCAGCTGGATTTGGGTTTGATGGAGGCAGGAAAGGAAGTGGGGAAGGTGGCCCTGGATCCCCTTGAATGACATTCGTAGAGACCTAAAAAACTAAGAAACAGCCAGATGTGGTGGTGCATGCCGGTAGCCCCAGAGACTTGGGAGGCTAAGACAGGAGGATCGCAAGTTCAAAGCCAGCCTCAGCAACTTGGCAAGACTCTGCCTCAAAGTAAAAAAATAAAAAGGGCTGGGGGCAGGGGCGCTGGGGTTGAGACTCAGCGGTAGAGCGCTCGCCTAGCACATGCAAGGCCCTGGGTTTGATCCTCAGCGCCACATAAAAATAAATAAAATAAAGTTATTGTGTCCAACTACAACTACAAAAAATAAATATTCTTAAAAAGAAGGGTTGGGGATGTGGCTCAGTGGTTAAGTACCCCTGGGTTCCATCCCCAGTACCAACAAACAAACAAAACATGAGAAACACAGATGCTCCTTGCTAGATGAAGCTCAGCACACTTGGCCCTCTATGTCGGTGAGTTCCAACCAACCCGAAGGAAAAATAATAAAGAAAAATAATTTGGCCTGTACTAGCATGCATAGTTCTTTTCGTTATTATTCCCTAAACAATACAGTATAACAACTATTCACCTAGCACTTACATTTCATTAGGTACCATAAGTCATTGAGAGACAATTTAAAGAATATGGGATAATGTGTGTAGGTTTTGGGCCAGTACCAGGACACTGTATAGAAGAGACTTCGCATCCTCGGGTTTGGTGGCCACATGGGTCCTGGAACCAATCTCCCATGGGTCCTGAGGGGCGACTAGGTTGAAATTCATTATTTTGGAGCTGAAGGGTGGACGCGGGAGTTGACATTATAGACAGAAGCCTGCTGCTTTGTTTCACAGGACGTCTGGCGCCTGCCGCCTTTACGTGCTCTGTCATGGAGAGGCCATTTCCCCTGTCCTGTGCTTCCTCCATGGGCCCCCGTGAGAGCAGTTACTGGAGGATTCGGACGCTCCCTGACGAGGCGGTAGAGAGCTTGTGGGCTCTGGAATGGGAAAGACCTGGCTTCAGTCCCAAGCTGTTCCGTGTGACTTGGCCTCTCTGAGCCCCGGTTTGGAAAGCTGTAAAGTGGGATGGCCCCAGGGGCTTGGGAATCCAGGGCCGACCATATGGTGGACTCATGAATGTTGGTCCTCCTGTTTCCATGATCCCCTCTTCTTGAACTGGCTCACAGAAGCCCAGGGCATGGTGGTGGGGTCTGCACCCTGTTCCCTCAGCTCTCAGCCCTGTCTGCTGCCCTTGCTGATTCTATATTGAGGCGCCTCTGCGCCTTGAAGGGCACTCGCTCTGCCAGCAAAGATGGATTAGCTTCATCTCCTTTTGAGAACTGTCTGATGGTCCCATGGTGCCTCGGGACAGCCAGAAAGTAGATCCCTGAGGTGGGCCTTCAGCCACCCAGGAGCTGCAGGACCCTGGAAGCGACCCCTGTGCTCTGGTGCAAATAGGGGGAGAAGAGAAAGGAGGGAGGAGGCGGGTGGGCAGGTCCTGTGGAGTCTCCCCCGGGCCCTTGGACTGGGCTGGGGACAGGATTTGGAGACTGTGCCTTCAGGTACAAAGTGATGTGGGTGAGGGAATCACAGGCTGTGGAGTGTCCACAGTGTCCACAGCCCTTCTGATTGCTTTCTTGCTGGTGGCTGTGATTGCTTCACATAGCAGAAGCCACAGAGCCAGCCCTCAATCCTAGGTCTTCAAATCCTAAATTGGGGATCCTTCCAGACAGCTCACTCCCATCCAGCTGACCTAGTTCATCTTCCATGGTTTTGGGGAGAAAGGATAAGAGCCCTGAGTGCCCTGGAGTTGAACATTGTCAAACTAGGCAATGTCAACAGAGTGATGATGTCACTACTGGACAAGGGCACAGGTCAGTGAACAAATCTTGACTGACCCCTGACTATGGGCTAGATGCGATGCTCCACTCCCTGCACACACTAATCGCATTCTGCACGTTTGTGCTGGGCAGGGGTCACCTGCCCCATTCTACAGACATGGAAAGTGAGGCGGCACAGGGAGGGTCACTTGCTGGGGACTCACTGTGCCTGGACATTGCTCCACGTTTCCCATCTGCTGAGAGCAGGCCTCCTTCCTCGGGCGGGCGTGTGGTTGGTGGGGAACAGCCAGACCCCAGGGCTGCCCGGGTGTCGCATCCCTCTGCCCGCCCAAAACCTTTTCTTGGAAATGATCCCAGAAGTGTGTGCCTTTCCTCTCTGGCCCTTTGAGACCGTCCCCACCCAGGGAAGCCCGAGGCCTGGCTTGGGGCCACTGTCCCCATCTCTGGGAACCATTCCAGACCAGTATCCTCTCCTCCCAGAGCTTCAGTCCCCTCACCTACCCAGAGGTGGCGGCTGGGGATACCACGTGCCTGGTTACCGTAAGAGCTGGGGGCTGCGTATGTCAGCGCTCAGCATGGAAGATGGTGGCGGGTGACCGCGCCAGGTGCACACTGGGGACTCGGGAGAAGCTGGTGGGTGCCGTCCAGCTTTCCCGGGGACATGGTATAAAGAAACTGCCCGCTGCCTTCTCCCTCCCTCCCTCCCTCCCTCTGCCTGCAGGGCTCCATTCATGGGGATGTGGAAATTGTGGTCTAACCTGCTCCCACTGCTCCTCTCTGCTGTGCAGCAGAGGACCCCAGAGTTGGGTGCTGCAGAGGACGCGGCTCCATCTACCCACGGGGGCGGCAAGTCCGGGTCCCGAGTGCTGGCTCTGCTCGGGCTCTCTGGGATGTGCTCCGGGGTCCTGCATTCCCTCCAGTCCTCACAAGGCTCCCCTATAGTAGCTTCTACCCCATTTTACAGCTGTAAACACTGAGGCCGGGTGCCTCCTGGCAGTTGGCAGCTGGCGTTGAGAGAAACCAAGGCCAGAGCCTGGGCTCTCAGGAGAAGGACCACCCTGTGGGGCTGAGGCACCTGCAGCTGCCTTGGACCCAGAGCGTGGCCTGCATCAGGGCCCAGAGGCAGAAAGGGAAGAGGTGTGAAATCTCGCCTTGCTGCCTACACCTCAGGGCCTCAGGCAAGTCCCTCCCCTCCAGGGGCCTCATGTCTGCACCCCCGAGATGCATGCCATGGCGGCCAGCCCTGGAGCTGAGGGGCAGCTGTCCTGGAGCATGCTAGATGCCCCATCCATGCTCCCCCCTCCCTGCCAACACCTGCTCTCTTGAGCTCTAGGCCTGCACACCACTGGGTCACACAAGGCCATCTGTCTGGGTGGCAGTGACTCAGTCCTGTCCCTCTCTGAGGAAACGCAGCCAAGGGACAAGAGCGAGGAGCCAGAACGCCTCCGTCTGAGTCACGGTACTGTGGCTTCCTCGCTGCGTGGTTTAGCCAGTCTTAGCATCCCAGGGCCTCGGTTTGCTGGGTAATAATAGGACCTACCCACAGGGCTGCTGTGAGGACTGAGGGTGAGAAATGGACTTCCACCACCACAGCTCCCAAGTAGTGGCAGCTATAAAAATGCCACAAGTCTGATCATCACTATGTGTTTGTGTTGTATCCTTAGGTTTTGTTCGAGGCTTATTCAAGTAGCTATATTTAATCTTCTTCTATGTTTGCTTTGACATCTCTGCAGAGAAGGCTGCCCATCATGCGTCTCTGATAATGTCCTATGGGAAAGTGCATCCCAGAATTCATTGTCAGGAAAAATGTCATCTTCCTCCTTGTGGACAACTTGAGCTATGCAAATCATCTGAATTCCCTTTCTTCCCTTACTGCTGGGAAGCTCATGTCAAACATAGATCTCAACCGTGGTAGCAACTATAGCTGGCTTATTTGCTTCCATCCTTTTCCTGTTCGCTTTCTGTGAGATGTGTCCCTCTTATGTCTTTATATCCATTATGGAAAAAGTTAATGTGGGGAAAAATTAGTTTATTATTTTGTATAGGATTGAGGTAGTTGTTCTAATACATCTGGTTATCCAATTTCTTGAGCAACTTAGGTTTGGGAGGGGGCAGAGCAGCACATGTTCAAGGGACCTCAGAGATTACATCTTTAATTGGAGAAAATCAGGCCCATTATGGTTATTTCTTACATACTACTAGTATTTTTTTTTTTTTTTGCTTGCCGGAAGTAGTGACTGTAGGATGATCCATGTACACAACACATTTGTCAGAAGATGCGTCATCATAATTATAACAAAAGAAAGTGTTTGCAAGGTCTAACTGATTGAAAAAAAGCACATTATAAAGTGATCAAACAGCAAAGCAATATATCTTACATAATCCCACGTATCCACGGAGTGTGTCTAGCTACCTGCCTGCCTCTAGGTCACAGAGGGTTCTCTCTGGGTGGCGGGGTTACAGGTGGTTTTATTTTTCTGCTTTGTGCTTACCTACATTTTAGACTTTTCCTATAGTGAGCTTGCATACAATGAATCAGTATGTTAATTGTGTGAGTTTTTTTCCTATTTAAGGAAATGCCCATCAGGGGAGGTTTGAAGTCTTGGCCACCATGCAGGGGAGAGGCATGGAGTCAGCCGGTGCTTAGTGGCTGTCTTTGGAGTGAAGGATGAGTGGAGGCCAAGGTTCTCCGTGGGAGCCATCCGTCCTGACTCTGGGAAGAGTGGGTTTGCTCCAGTTTGTCCCACCTCCCTAAGAGGGTGAACCAGCTTTTCCTAGGTCCTGGGAGCAAGGTCTCACTCTGCCTGTGAGAAACAAAGTCGGCGCCTATCCAAGTGTGTGTTGTCCACGGGCCGACTTCTGGGACAGGACTGCGGAAAGGCAGAGGTGCAGAGGGACCAAGTGGCATTTCACACAGGGCACAAAGGAAGTGATCAGAGACGAAGATCTGAGAAGGAGGACCAGGGCAGCCACAGCCCTGGAAGTGGCAGTCTAGCACCCACCACGAGACCCTTTCTTACCTCTGCACAGTAACCCATCTGTTTTGAAGATGGGGAAACAGAGGATCAGAGAGGGTATGTGGCTTGCATAAGCTGGGAAGCAATGGAGTGATTTAACCCAGGGGCATGTGACTTCAGAGGCTGGTTTTTTTTTTTTTGGATGGCAGGGGGCAGTACTGGGAATTGAGTGCTCTACCACTGAGCTACATCCGTAGCCCTTTTTGAATTTTATTTTGAGACAGGATCTCACTAAGTTGCTGAGGCTGTCCTCTAACTTGTGATCCTCCTGCCTCAGCCTCCTGAGCAGCTGGGATTACTGCACCACCACACCTGGCCAGAGGTTATACTTTTAATCACTTCATTTTATCTCCACACCCAAAGGGTGTGTTGGAGACAGGATGACAGAGAGAGACAGAGAGAGAGAGAGAGAGAGAGAGAGAGAGAGAGAGAGGTATCAAGACAAGAGTGGAAAGGGGAGAGAGACTGATAGAGAGAAAAAATGAGAGAAAGATTTCAAAACTTTCTATCCCACTCTTTCTGGACAGAGGTGGAAAAGGCCCAACAGGAGGTACTTTAGGTCAGCCCCTGCCCCCGCCAAGTGAAGGCCTCCGCAGGCAGGCGGAAGAGTAACGAGAATCATCAAGAATCATACAAGGACAGGGCCGCCCAGCCTTGGCCTGAGCAGCACAGTGTGTCAATCCCTGCTGCAGGAGGTGAGGTGCAAGGAGTCACCTCCATGGTGAGCCAGTGACTTCGGGGGTTCTGGGAAGAAACCCAGTTGGAGAGTCCCTCAGATGCTGGTGTGCCCCCAGGACAGGGACCCCAGAGGGATCCGTGAACAGGGCTGAAGCACCATCAAGTCAGCGGGTCAGGAGTGCACAGGGCAGGCGGTTCAGGCTTTGTCCCCAGCCGCGAGTGCGGGGAGCCCTTGCAGAGCAGCCTGGATGGATGTCGGGGTCACCGTCACCCGGTCTGCAGCACCCATCTTCATGAACAGCATGTGACTGTCTCAGGAGAGACCTGGCCCTGGTGTCTTAACAAACTCCACAGCAAAACCCGAGGACTCTTTTTAGCTGGGTGCTGTGGTCTGGAAGGTCTCCCAGGTTCTTGCTTTGGGAATTTAATCCTCACATTCGTGTGTGGATGGGACCTGGAGGTGAGGCTTTTGGGAGGTGATGAAGGTCATGAGGATGGGGATCCCGTGATGGCATTAGTGGCTTATGGGAAGAGGCCCAAGCTGGCAGCTTGTTCTGCCTCACTATTGGGTCCCCTTCGGCCACATGAAGATGCAGCAGAAGGTCCCCACTAGACGGTACTGGACTTCTAGCCTCCAGAAACATGAGAAGTCAATTTCTTTTCTTTAGAAATGACCTTGCCTGTGACATTCTGTTCTAGCAACGTCAAACAGATTCTGGGTAACCTCGAGTAAGTTAACCCACTTCTCTGTGCCTTGGTTTCCTTGTCTTTCTGATGGGCACAATGATGGCCCCTTGCTCACGGGGTATCTGGAAGACAGCTCAGCTCAGAGCTTGGCACACGGTAAGTGCCTAATAAGTGCTCATGGTGAACACTGTTACTGTTGGTCTGATCCTTGCATTTCACACAAAGGAAGACTGGATACTGAGGGCTTTAGACTGGCGCTCATTCGGTGTGTGTGAGGCCTCAGTTTCCTCATCTGGAAGCAGTGGTGGCCGTGGGCCCTGGGTGCCCTGCGGTGTGGGCACTGTGGCCAGGAGTGCATGCTCCATGCGGGGCGGGGATCAGGGGGTCTGAGGCCCCCCGACCTACCTTCGTTGCTCTCGCCAGGCGGGTGGTAGAAGGACAGTCCCAGGGAGATGATGGCCGCAATTTCCAGGATGATGAGCGTCACATCCTGCAGGGCTTCCCACACGAGCTGCAGGAAGGTTTTTGGCTTCTTTGGAGGTATAAAGTTTTGCCCAAAAATCTGCTTCCTCTTTTCCAGGTCTGGGGCGGTGCCTGGTAAACCTGTGGACAGAGTGCAGAGAGGTGGGCAGGGGGCCCTGGAGGGACGCGTGTGTGTCCCCGAGCACCGACATCAGCCCCCAGCTGGGCAGAGCGTCTCCCCCGGGGCCTCTGTTACCAGGAAGGACCGGGTCCCTCCTGTGGTTATGGAAGGCTGCACTAGAGTGGGAACAGGAGGCTGTGCCGGGTGCCCCTGCACCATCGCCAAGGTGAACCAGGGGTCAAGAGGAGCCGTGAGAACTGCATAAGATAATCCATGCAGTCCAGGACAGGGCCAAGAGCAAGACAGGAGGTGACTTCCCGGGGCCACATATGGAAGGTGCTGGAAGCCACATCTGGTGGGTGGGAGATACTCAGCTGGGCTGGGCCAGAGCAGCGAGGGGCAGCCAGATGTCGGCCTCGTCATGCAAGGGCTGGATGGACGGCACAGCCAGGTTCACGGCTAACTCACTAGTTCTTCATTTCCAGGTAGTTCCTCCAGCCTCAAGAGCCCCACCCCACCTCCTTCCTGCTCAGCAATCGTGGGAAGCATCCCATTATCTTCTGGTAACTTCTGATCTATGTCTGTGGCCCTAGCGGTCACCACTGAGCCTCACCCCACCAGGGCAGGCAAGTCCCTGGCGGGGAAGGGCTTCCCGTGCCCTCTGTCTGCTGGCCCCCCACAGAGGTCAGCCCTTCCCACGTTGCTGTGTCATTTTGTTTCTCTGTGACAGCTCCTGCCTTTGTTCCTGTGGGCCAGGGACATCCTGTCCTGCCATCGACACCGGGTGCCGTCCTCAGCCTCTCTGAGCAGCCTCCCCTCTACCCCAGGTGGACAGCGGCCTCTGCCCTTACCTCTCCCCTGCCCTGATCACAGCAGGGCTTATGGGTTTGCTGGGCCAGTTGGTTTTTTGGGGCAAAGACTGGTCTGATGCCTATTTCTCAGAGCCTGGCACTGGAGGTCATGGCGGAGAACGTAGCACGAATGGCTCTGTCAGCTGGGCAGGCTCAGCCACATCTCCCCTGTGGCTTGATGACAGCTGGATGGGGACAGGGAGGGGCACAGACCTCTCACTGGACCTCAGGCCTCCAGCCCACTACTGAGAAGGGAGAACTGGAAGAAGCCCAGGGGGGCTGGAGTGCTCAGTTGTATTCAGGGGAACTTAGTGGACGAATATATGACATGGCGCTAGGACTCCAAGTCTGTCGTTCATTGGCTCATTCATCCGTCCATTGGCTCAGTCTGTGTCTCTTTCTGGTACCAGGGGTGCTTAACCACTGAGCAACACTGCCAGCCCTTTTTATTTTTTTTCTTTTGAGACAGGGTCTGGCTAAGTTGCTTAGGACCTCGTTAAATGGCTGAGTCTGGCCTTGAACTTGCAATCCTCCTGCCTCAGCCTCCTGAGCTGCTGGAATTACAGGCATGTGCCGCCACCCCCAGCTCAATCCCTATGACTGGAGCCCCTGCTGTGGCCAGCTTGGTGCTGGGCACTGGGGAGAGGTGTGCATGGGACATCCCTGTGGCTCATGGACACGGGAGCTCAGGGAGCTGGGAGTCTGGCAGCCTGGGGTTCAGGGGTGCAGGGCAACAGGCATGTTCCGTGTCTGGAATTCCAAGTGCAGAGCCTCCTCTGAGTGACTCCTCTGAGCCACAGTGAGTCCTCCATTGGGGGCCCGAGAGCCAGGGGGCTGAGACCCCAGGGGAGGACTGCACGTTCCCAGGAGGCCCTGCACCAGCCTCGCCTGCAGCATGGACGCTCTGGACAGCTCTCCTCCTGCTGTGCAGTGAGAACGAGGGAAGCCACAGCCCAGGTGCGCCCATTTTATGGATGGGGGCCTGAGGCTTCCCAGTCACCAAGCTGCTGCCTGGGGCTACTCTTGGGCTGTGCAAAAGGCCAGCCCTGCCTTCTCAAAGCATGTGGAGACGTCTCCACGGTCCCCTGCTGCGGTGCCCATCAGGGGTAACACCTGTATTTGAGGCAGAGCTTCCAGAAGCTGCAGGAATCTCCCTCCACGTGTCCGATTCTGCCCACAGCCAGGGTCTGAACTTCCTTGGGCTTTATACTTCTCACTAAAAGCTCTGATTCCTTTAGACGCCCAGAGGGGAGAAGCCATCATAGTTCTGGTCACCATGGTGTAAGAGCTCCAGGTCCCTCTCTGAGTGTGTTTTGATGGGGGAGGGAAGCTTGGGAGGGTGGTGGACCTCTGATGGAGGGGCCACGATGGCCAACATTAGCCTGGTGTGGCAGTGTGCTGTGCCTCGGGCCACTGACGTCCCTTCTCTGAGCCTCAGTTTCCTCATCTTGCTAACGGGGGAGTTCACTATGATGGGTGAGTCCCTAGGATCCCGGGGGGTCCAAGGTTCGCAGGCCCTGAAGCGGTCCTGCTGGGCTCTGTTTTTACCTTTAGGGGCTCTTTGTGAGGTCTGGTGTAAATAAAGGGCTTAGATCAGAAAAAGATGGGTGGGGGGCAGCTCAACTTCTCTCCCCACCCCCCTGATGGGCAGAGACACGAGTCTCTGAATCTTGTGAGGCTCTCGGTTCAGATGCGCTGGAGTCTGGAGTGTGAATGGTTGGTTGGTCATGCTCTCGGTTCCCAAAGTCAGGCCACAGCTCTGGGAGGTCTGTCGTGCTGGGGACCCACACACTAGGCCCTGCGATCTGGGGTTCTGGGACAGCAGACAGGGTGGGGACTCCAAATTCGAGTAGCTGTAGGTGCTGCGCAGGTTTGGGGAGTGAGAGGAGTAGCTGGGTGGCAGACAGTGGGGAGTGGTGGGGACTGGGGCAAAGAGAACACTGACCCTTCTAAAGGGGCAGAGGTTTCTAAGGGCCCCTGTGGGGGAATATGCACCCAGCGAATCAGATCTTCCAACCTAGGAGAAGGAGGACACCTGGAACTTGACAGAACATCTCCCCAGTGAAGATATTTCAGAGCCAAATACAACAAATCTATGGGTGGGATTCTGCCCGAGGTTGCCAGTCTGAGACCCCCCCCCAAGGCTATGGGTCGGAAGAGGGAGAAGGCTGGGAGGGAGGGGCCAGGGCAGAGAAACTTCTCTCTCCCTTCCTCCTCTTTTCTGGGCAGCACCCCCCTAACACCAGGCCCTGTCCTGTTCCCCACAGGCTTCTGGGGGCCTCCTGGGTTATTCCTCCGGGTTATTCCCATGGTCAAAACTAACAGGAAGTCTTCACAACGACAAATTCCCCAGAATATACACCCTCAAGTGGTTAGGCTCACAGGGTCTCCGAGTTGGCTCATGGTAGGTCCTGGCATCTCACTCCTGGGCCACGTTGGAGCTGGGGATGCCAAGCCCCAAGTACTCAGGTGGGTTTGGACTTGGATATCCTGTGTTCAAATCCCAGGTCGGAGTTACTCTGAGTAAGTGATTTTGCCCCTCGGTCCTCAGTTTCCTCATCTGTGAAACACAGGCAACAGCAGGGCCCACTTCCCAGGGTTCGGGTGCAGCTGCCGTCTCCACGTTCCATGTAAGGGCCGCAGAGCTGGGTCTGGCCCCAGGGGAGCGTATTGCATTTACTACTGACTCGTTTGGGGCTGTACGTGTGATGAGCCCAGCCCTCCCGAGGAAAGACGGCTCGCGCAGACAGGGTTTCCATAGGAGAGGGGAACTCAAGGTGAGGTGACGACAGCAGAAGGGCCTTGGGACTGCAGAGAAGCCAGCCACTTCCTCTCTGTGGGCCTCAGTTTCCCCACATGGGACATGAAGGGATGGTCTAGAAGCGGGTTGAGGGTGGGTGACTCTGGAACCTTGTATGCAAAGGCAGTGGGACGCTCACCTGGTCCAGCCCACCCTCCGTGTCCTTCCCAGGACTCTCAGTCTCCCCACCTTCCTGCTAGATACTAACATGCCTATTTTGGGGAGCAGACACAACAGAGACTGGGGTGAGGGATGAATGGTGTCAGAGATTCAATTTAGATTGTGGAGCATCTCGCCACTTAGCATATTAAAAATTAATACAGTGTGTCAAATGTTGTTGGACCCAACAGCAAGGGTCTAAAAATTCAGGAAAAAAAAATGCGCAGGACAGAGGCTGCATGGGGTGTGGGTATTCAAGTGAGAAGTTTCTTTTTATTTATTTTTATTTTGTGGTACTGGGAGTTGAAGCCAGTGGCTCTTCACCACTGAGATTCATTCCCAGACCTTTCTATTATTATTATTATTTTTTAAAATTTTGAGATAAGGTCTCAGTTAGTTGCTGAGGCTGGCCTGGAACGTGTGATCCTCCTGCCTTGGCCTCCCAAGTTGCTGGGATTCCAGGCATGAGCTACGGTGCCTGACTGAATTTTCTCTCTATACAATTACAGAGCACTGGGCGGGGGAGTTGAGTTTGAGTCTTGATTCTACCACTGACTGGTGAGTGAAGCAACCCAAGGCCCCCCAGAAAGGGTGAGCCGTCTACTTAAGGTCACACGGCAAGGAAAGACAGAGAAACACCCTTGGAGACTCAGTTTTCTCATCAATAAAATGGGAGGAAGTAACCCCTACGCTGTGGTGGACCACTGTCAGAGGAATGGCTGTGAATACTCTGGGCAAACGGTGGGAACACTATCTGTGCGCCTTCATGGAAAAAAATAAATTTCAGCTGTTGTCCAGATTCTTTTACTGGGGCCAGAATTTGGGTGTCCTGTTATTTATGTAAGAGAAGAAGGCCACAGCTCCCAGAGTGGGGGTTTCGGTTGTACAGAATTATTTGCTGTGATGGCTGCTTGCTGTCACGGGACATTTGAGGAGTGTACCTCCAGCTGTCCTGGACACTGATTGGGTTCTCTCCCAGCCTCTGAGCCCTCGCCCTGTCACCCCCGGTCTTCTGTTTCCAGTGAGTGGCTCCCTCTTCTCAGTCATTTCAGACTCGTCTTTGATGGCTGCTAACAGCTCTCTCAGGCTGTCAGAGGGTTTTTTTTTTTTGGTTGGCCCAGTGATTTAAAAAAAATGGGAAATTTTCACCAACATAAGAAATGCAAGCACTTCTAAATAGAAGTCCTCACGTTTGGCTCAGGGAGTCACG